TATGTGTGGCCTGCTACATGAATCGTTTTTCTCCGTTCTGTTCTATTAAGAGTCAAATTCTCATTTAAATCTAACAAAAAATATCATTTCTAATACTTTCTAAGTCTTTTTAGGTCTGCCTCTACCTTTGTTTAGAGAGGTAGATCTAATACATCTACTCTTCTAATCGGGTCATTAGAAGTATAACATTTTGTGTGGCTAAACCATCTAAGGAGACTCTCTCTAATCGTATATGACACTAGAACTACAGACTACTCCAACCTTTTCAAATATATATTCATTTCGCAATGTCTCTAAGTGTAAAACCACTCATTCACCTAAACATTTTCGTCTCTGCAATACTTAGCTTAAATTATGCTTCTCTTTTATTGGCCAATATTCTGTGCCTTAAAGCATTGCATGTCTTACCACTATCCTGTAGAATTTTCCCTTACGTTTGTGAAGTACTTTTCTATCACACAATTAATAAATATAGAGGGATAATTAAAGATTTAAAGTAGCGTATATTGAAAGATAAGGTGGTGAAAAGTGAACATATTTTAGGAGTTATAGTAAATGGTAGAATATGTATCAATAAAATAGGCAGAAAAATTACTAGGGCCAAGGGTTTAGTTCAAGGGTAACCTGGATCGTAATTGTGCCAAAGGTTTAGCTCATCAAGCAACACTTAGTAGATGGCGATTCATAGCTAACTCAAAAAAACAAGATTTACTTAATTCTGGATATGACTATTGTTAAAGATGTTGGATTTTCTCAAAAACAAATGAAATGTTTGTTTGGGACGGCTGCAAGGGTTTGCAAAAGTAGTGAGAAATTTTTTTTTTTTGGAAGCTAATATGGGTATTATAAATCTTTTTACTCCAGTAAAAATTAGATAACTGCTTTCTTATAGCTACTACTCTTTAGCAAATTTTGTTGTAAAAAGTTTCTTTTCACTATATAAAATTTTGAAATGCAGAAAGAAAATTGTCTGCAAACAAAAATGCAGTAGATGTCTAAAGGTAAAAGTGTAAAACTACGAAATAATTATCTCAAATAGACATGAAGTCGCACTTTTTTAGATATAAATAATGGACATTTCTTTATTAAAGTCACGAATGACTGATCAATTTTAAAAAAAAAGTATTTATTATGCAAAAAATATATTTATTAATAGTTAAAAAAATCCCACACTTTCTATCTCCTTGTTTTATTACAAGTCAATTTGAACTTTACGGTGCGAACTAAGTAAATAATGTATATTGTTTAAGCATTGTAAAACTATTGGCTGGAGCATGGAGCAAAAGCATAGGTTGTCCCCATTCTAACCTGAATGTCATGGGTTAGCATGTCAAGGGATAAAATTGTGTATGTTATATGGGCACCATTGAGAGTTTTTGGAGTCCGTATTGCTTAGTTTCATCTCTTTCACTTCCAGCTATCCTGTACAAACTTTAGCATCTCTTAACGGATGCAGTCCTATTCTCTAGAAAAATTTCAACTATTTCTTATTATGTTTTCCACAGCTTGTTTACCTCCAATGAAAATACATTTTTTCTACTCATCACATCCCGACTAGTTTTGCTGTATGATTGTATGAGAAAATTATTTTCTGTTTTAAAAATAATTATGTTTTCCACAGCTTGTATACCTCCAATGAAAATACTTCTTTCTACTCATCACATCCCGACTAGTTTTGCTATATGATTGTATGAGAAAATTATTTACTGTTTTAAAAATAATTATTATCCTGTTCCAATTATTTTTCATGCTTCAGAAATTTGTGGAATTAGTTGATGGGACTATGTTATAGAATGATACCATTATTATTTTTTGAACAAACTATTTTAATTGGTATTTAAGGAGTTAACATCTACTTTACTGTCTGTATTTTTTTTCAAGTCCACTTGAATTATAACTTTCAGCCAATTAACTACAACAACCAATCTAAAATTGAGTTAGCTATTGTGTTGCAACTTTGTTGCGTCAGCTTCTATTCATATTTACCCTCGAGCTTATCAATCCACTAGAAGGCGAGTTGGAAATTTTGAACCCTATCCTGACCATATAACATGAAGCTTGAACCTAGCCCTAATGAGAAGGTTGGTCAGGAACCAGGTTGAGCTTAACATTTGTAAAGCCAAGCTGGCTACTCTATAGTAATACTTTGAGTTGATTCTGATTCTTATTCTACTTCTTTCACATGTTGAAATATATCTAACAAGCAAGATAAGGATGCCCGACGAGGTTGATCGTTGATCGACGATGTGCTGCCTAAGCTGATACGACATACACCGACGATAATCGAAACCATTTGAAATGACCTCTGATCATGAAACGGATCATGCCAGCACAATTAGAATGACGAAATTTCTCAAATGAGATATCTCGCAAGCTGATCAAGTGAAAGCGGCCAAAAACATCATATTAAATGCACGTAGATATATGACATTCCTTTAATGATCTCACAACTTTAACGAACGAGTCGACGATCATTCTAAACAGATATTTATCTATTAAATATTTAAAATAAAAATAATATTATTTTAATTATTAAATTGTATTATATTATATTTAAATTATTCATATATATATATATATATATGAATTATAAAAAAATTGGAATGTTCTCCTGTCCTTTTGATTGCAGCTATGATGACATCTTTGCCTTTCATTTTTGGTTATTTGAAAAGAGTAAGATTAGGCACAAGAGGAAATCAATTAATCAAAAGCTATACCCTAATTTTATTCACTCAAAACTCTCCATTCTTCTCACCCAACCAGCCCTCACGCTCTTTTTTTTTGTTTCACACTCCAAAACCCAGCCCTCCCCACTCGACTTCTACATGCGACTTCCCAGCCCGACCGACTCCAGGCCACCAACACCGTCTCTCTAGCCGCCTAGGTGCCGCCAACCTTCTAAACCGCTGTCTTCCCAACTCTAGCTCGCTGTCTCTGTCCGCTCATGTCGCCATTCAATCTGGTTTCTTCTTTCCACTTCTCTCTCTCTCTCTCTCTCTCTCTCTCTCTCTCTCTCTCTCTCTCTCTTCTTTCTCTCCATTCCTCCATTTCTCTTTGAAATCCCTCTTCCTCTTATTTCATCATCTTGCTGATGACATGAAAGCATCCAAAGAAATTTGCAATAAGTTTGTTTGTTTTCTTCATTGTGTTTCAATTTCACTTTTTGCTAGTACATATGAGGTGTTTGTTAGATTTCATTTTAAAATATTTTCTTGTCTTCCATTGATGCCACCTCATAGCTACCAAATCCACCACCAAAAATCACTTTATTGATTACCTTCTTCATTGTATTTTTTTGAAGTGATTGTAAAGTCACCCTAGCGATGACCATGTTGACAAAAAATATTAACCGAATGGGATTCTATATAAATAAAACATTCTCAAACCCTGAAGAAAATGCAAGAATTTTATAAGTGACTTCAGCGTCACCATAATGATGACTTTGTTGATAGAAAATCTTAACCGGAGGGAACCCTATGCTCATAATATATTGAACTATAATGCAAAATATAGATATATTTAATGTGACTTTAGTGTCACCTTGATGATGGCCGTGTTAAATGTGAATCTCAATCCGAGGGATCTACATAAATTTTTTTTTTAAAAACTCCTTAAATCCCAAAGTTAATTGTTAGGGGACCCAAGTTTAATTAAAATATCAAATCTAATATTCTTCAAAATTCTAAATATTCAAGTGAAATTGAACACCTAAAAAATCTATAGCTAAAATTCATCTGCCTTTTCGCAACAAGTTTGTCATGGGCGGTAAATTTGAAAATAACATCAGCTCACAAAGAGCGAATGTTATGTTAGATATATCGCTAAGATTGATTCTCAAACCATCTTTTTCCAATAAGGACGTGGCACGTATCTTCTAATTGATGGTTTTGCCGCCAAATGACACAAATGATTATGACTAGGGCTCTTTAACCGGGTGATTTTGTCGCTAAATATTACCACTAAATTATGGTCATGACCAGAGCATGTATGATCCCCATTGTTGGCTTAAATTCTTGAGTAATGAATCATACGGTATATTTGATATGCACAGCCCTTTTTTTGCTAATGTTGACTCAAACATGTCATCTTAGGCAAACATTTACTACAAGTCTACAAGATACCCTTCGATGATGCAAACTATGACTATCAACAAGGATCTTTAGATTAGTTTGAATCGACTACCTCTTTTGACTAAGTAGACTATGGATCATAACAGTCATGGACTACAGAACCATGAGATATTGATCGGGCCCGTCATCTTTCTCCCATCATCCACTTTAAATATATCGTGAAAAATTTCAAATTTTGGAAACCCTAAGAATCCAATTTCCAAACTCTGAAAACTACTGCTAATATATGCTGGGTACTTCGTGCATGTCTAATGACTAGCCTTAATCGAAATTGCTCTCTCGTTACCAGGAGGGTAATTAAGTATAGGGGCTTACGCCTATAGAAAACTAGACCTCATATCATAATATACTCACAAAATGAGAGCAAAATCTCTTGATGGTGTCTTATCTAAAATCAATCTACCTTTTAAAAATTTAACTTGGAATCTAATTCATTAAAACTCTCCTAGTTAACAAAAAAAGGGCTAGGTGCGGATTTTCGTAGCCCACATCACACTGCTTATTTCCATTATTGCATGTGGTTTGTAAAAACTTATTTATTGCTATAGTAAATTATCTGGATTATGGTGCCTTTATTTATGCATTATATTATGAACCTTTTTTATACTGCTTTTATGAGCTATTTTTCCCCCTCAAATAACCATGCAGTCTTTGAATTTAAAACGTTGTTTTCATGGAAATCCTTTTTGTGCATCTCCTTAGCAAAATATGCATTAATCAGCAGAGTTCTGAATGATCAAATACCGAACTATGCTTTTGCTTATGTGAGAGGAAAGTCATCTAATATTGTGACAGACAGCAACTTGTCGATTGACCAATTTTGTATACATTTTTATATAAATCAATACTAGGTGTTGCCTTCATTTTGAATTATAGATATGAATTTATTTACTTATGAACAACTGTATTCTAGCTTTCTCAACAAGAATTTGTTGAATTCAGATTGATCGAATTGCACGTGTGGCTTTTGAGATCGCTCGAAAGCGACAGAGCAAACTATGCTCCGTTGACAAAGCAAATGTTTTGGAGGTACCGTTCTAGTGTGCTATTTTTCCAATCAATCTAACTTTTTTGGCTGTATCTGTGCAAATGCATGCGATAATCTAAGTAGGAAAAAAAGAAGAAAGAAATCTGCATATCAAAAACATACCAAGAAATGAACATATAACAATAACATTATGGGAAAATGCATGTTGTTTTGTATTGACTTGTTAATGAGTTGCATATCAAAAAATTATTAATTCAAGTGCTCGGCAAGTGCCAACCTCTTTTTTTCTACCCTTTTTTAGCTGCTGCACTTAAATCTTCACTATTTTCAAGTTTTTCTTAGTACATTTGTGATGATGCTTATGAATTTTGGCAGGCATCCATGCTTTGGAGGAAAAGAGTGAACGAAATTGCATCAGAATACTCTGATGTACAACTCTCTCACATGTATGTTGATAACGCAGCAATGCAATTGATTCGAGATCCAAGACAGGTTTTTCCTCCATGTCAATTATTCTTATGTTTATTCTATACAATGAACATATATTGCTTCGGTTGGGATGGCTTTTTTACTGCTTTTTGAAGCAGCTTTTTTATACAAAAAATTTAAATTTTATTCTTAAAAGTTGCTTCAAGAAACAGTAAAAAACTCATCCCAAACAAAACTTTTGATGATTTATTTAAACCTGAAAATATTAACTCACTGCAGTTCGATACGATAGTTACAAACAACATCTTTGGTGATATATTATCTGATGAGGCTTCCATCATTACTGGAAGTATCGGAATGCTTCCCTCTGCTAGTGTCAGTGAATCGGTATGCTAAATCATTAATGTTCATTAAGATTTTCCTATGATGTTGAAGAAATGAATTTTCCCAACGGACCTGCTTGACATTTTAACATTTATATTTCTCAGGGACCTGGTCTTTTTGAACCAATTCATGGGTCAGCTCCTGATATTGCAGGGCAGGTTAAACTCTTAAATCATTTTCTTGTATGTAACTTGTTTTGATTTAATCCATAAAAGGATGAAACTTTTGTGCTTGCTTTGCAGGACAAAGCAAATCCATTAGCGACGGTGCTCAGCGCTGCCATGTTATTGCGATATGGTCTTGGTGAAGAGAATGCTGCAAGGAGGATTGAGGCTGCTGTGATAGAAACACTTAATAAAGGTTTTCGAACTAGTGATATACATTCTTCTGGAATGGTAATGGATTTTTTTTTTATTGACATCCACCTCCCTTTTTTTTTCTATGAAAAAAACTTAGTTTTGTTACAGAAATTAAGATTTTTTTTATGTGTTTTAAGGTGCTTGTGGGTTGCAAGAGAATGGGAGAGGAAGTACTGAAATCTGTGGATTCAAAGAATCCCATTGTTGCTATAAGCTGAGATAAGTTACTTACAGGTAACAATTCTGCGGGGAAGAATCTTATTGTTGAATTATGTTTTCTTGATTTATGTCATCTGTTATTGTTGGAATGATCCTGATTGATATCTTTCTACTGTAAGAGCTAAGTAATGAATGAATTTTTGTAGGCAGTAGTTTTCTATGAATAAAAAGGTAATAATCCACTTTTGGTTATTGAGATTTAATGGATATTTGAACTCTAGGGAGTGTTGATTTTACATAAACTAACTTGCAAAGTAAATAATTTTTTTTTTTTTTGCTGAAAGTTATTTTCTGTCAATATTGAGAGATTTATTTGGTATATGGTAACATTCTTAAAGAGTGATGAATAGGTTGCCTTTCTTCTCTTATATTAGGTTAAAATAGCTTTTTTTAATTCTAAGTTCAGAAGAATGTGTCATTTACTTTTCCTTTACACAGCTCATCTTAACCTGTTTGTTGAGAGCTTAGACTTTCAACTAAGAGATCTTGATTTCGAGTCTTTGTGTATGCGTTGTGTGTGTGAGTTTGTCTTAAATGGCCTAAATGTCCCAAAAAAACTTTTCCTTCATTTGTACTATGATATGCTTGCATGACCAGTCTAATTGTTAGCAACCCTACGCCCTTTGTCCCCTTCATCTACACCACTATGATGACCCTCACGGATAAATTATTACGTGCGGAGTCTAGATGTAGAGTTACATTCGGATATTTGAGTTTATATAGTATATACACATTGTGTATAAAAGTACACTACTTCTGTACACTATGTATACGTTCGGAATCCGCACATAATAATTTCTCCATCAAAAGATAGTGTATTTCATTTTGTAGTAAACCAAATATAAAAAAGAGATTTCATTGATTTAATTTACTCTTAGTTTTAAGAAATAAAAATATAGATGTTCAGTTTACATTATATTTGATATACACATTATCAAAATAATTGCAACCAAATATTCATTTGAGAAAAAAAAGCGCTAAAGAACTGATTGAGGAACATTCAAAGAGAACTGATTGATATACTGTATTGTGTGACGTGATGGTTCCTGATTGACTTCCGAACATGTTTGAGCGTATTAATCTTTTTTTTTTTTTTTTTAAGACTGGAACATCAAAAATTAGGCTTTTAAATTATTGAGTTGTCAATCTTTCAGTGGTGATTTTAGTAAATATGAGTATTTTTTTTTTAATATTTCTATTTTGTATTATAGATTATATTATTTTGATGGAGATTTAATGCAGAGTTAAATAGAATATGACTTTATTATAATCCTAATCTAATAGGACTTGAATCTTGTTGCAATATGAGTTTGAATCCCATATATTTTGGTCTGGAACAATATTTTTAATATGTTTTTTTTCTAATAAAATAAATAATGTATGTATTTTTTTTTTCTATCATGGTTATTTATATAAAATTAAAATTCCCAACATCAGAGAGCAGGTAATTTATACTTTGATTTTCTTTGGTCTTGAATAACTGATTGATCTTGGCAACAAATGGCATATAAAAAAAAGCCAAAATCCAAATTGTACTCTTCCTTCTAGGTGTGGTGTTACTTTTCTAGAAGAATAGCAGATAACATTGCACACAAAATATAATGACTAAGGTTTCATTTGGGATGATTTTTTTATTGTTTAAAATTTTATTTGAAACTGCTTTCTTCTTCCTTAAAACAGTTTTTTTAGTACAAAAATTTTTGTACTAAAAGCTGTTTTAATGAGTATTAAAAAAGCCGTTTCAAATGAATCTTAAATTAGTTTTTTAGTACAAAAATTAATTTTTTATTAAAAAATTATTTTAAAAGGCAGTAAGAAAGTTATCTCCTAAATCAAAATATAACATATTAATTCATAAGATATATATATATATATATATATAACTTTTCAAAAATAAGCGATTTATTTATATCTTATTTTTTTAATTTAAAATTTTAATTTTTTTTAGATATATATCTAAATTTTAAAATCATTTTGATAATATTTTCATAATTTTTTATGTAGCGATTTATTTATATCTTAATTTTTTTAATTTAAAATCATTTTGATACTATTTTCATCATTTTTATGTCAGAATATTTTATAATTTTAATAATTTATTTAAAAAGTTATATGCAAATATCATAATATAATTTGAGCTTAAGAGCTTATTAATCTCAATAAAAATCTAAATAATGAGTAATATCTTTTTTTATTATTATTTTTTCTATATTTGTTAATTTCCAACGTCTCATCTCATGCATGTTATATAAAGAACCTCACGCCTCAGCAAATTTCAATCGATCTCTCTCTCACTCGAATATATAATTTGATCTATGGAACCAGCCATGGCTTCCAAGAAAATCTCTTTTCTCTTCCTCATCTCACTCTACTTCGCCGGCCGCGGTACGACAACCCTCGCCGCTCGCCGTTTGCTCGACTCTCCGGTGGTGGAGTTGCCTCCTCTGCCTTCAATCCCTGCTCTGCCGAAATTCGCGTTTCCTCCACTGCCACACGGCTGGGATCTCCCAAAACCGGCGTGGCCGCCGCTTCCCAAAGTTCCTAGCTTTCCGAAGCCAGCTTTTCCTCCAGTGATCACCGGAGCGAATCCTTTCCCACTTCCACCGTCCGAGTGCCCTCCGCTGCCCAAAGTTCCGAGCTTGCCGAAGCCGGAGGTGCCGCCGTTTCCCAAAGCAATTCCGCCTGTGATCGCCGGAGTTCCGGCTCCCCCGAATCTTCTCCCATTTCCGCCGCCTCTGCCCAAAGCTCCGAACTTGTATTAAATATATGGATCATTTTTTGGTCATATATAATATTTACTATTTAGTGGCATATTTTGAGATTATTTTATGATATAGAGTATTTATTTATCTATGTGTACGCCTTTTAATCATATTTATAGAATATTAATAAAAGCATATTTGTGCTTATGCTTCTTTTTTATTTTGATTTTTTTTATTTTTTTTATTTTTTTATTTTTATCTTTATATTTGTGCTTATGCTTCTGTTAAATTAATTAATAGAAAATAGGTCATTAATGTTGTGCTTAGAAAATTGGGTACACTATGTCTAAATACCTATTCTATTGTAATTTTGTCTTAAATATAATTAATTGGAAAATAGTTCAGAAATAGAAATTTTTGAGAAATAACAAGAAAATAAAGCTAAACTCTTGAATAATGAGATGATTTTTAGTATACAACAACAACGATAATCTCAAGTCTTTATCCCACTAGGTGGGGTCGGATACATGAATCATTTTTCTTCATTGTGTCATGTTGAGAGTTAAATTCTTATTTAGATCTAAAAAAAAAATGTCATTTCTAATATTTTTAATCGAGTCTTTTTATGTATACTTCTACCTTTCTTAACATAAGTCAAATCTAATATATCTACTTTCCTGATTGGGTCATCAGAAGGCCGTCATTTTATGCGACCAAATCATCTACGGCGAAACTCTCTAATTTTATCTTGCACTAAAGCTACTCCAACCTTTTCACGTATATACTCATTTCGTATCATGTCTAAGAGTAAAGCCACTCATCCACCTGAACATTATCATCTCTGCATCACTTAACTTAATATTATGCTTCTGTTTAAATGGTCAACTTTCTACACCATAAAACATTGCAGGTCTAACCACCATCTTAAAGAATTTTTCCTTAAGTTTGAGGGAGACGTTTTCTATCACACAAAAAGCCCGATGCATTCCTCCACTTCAACCATTCAACTTGAATTCTACTAATAATATCCCTGTTTATTTTACCGTCACTCTACGCAATAGACCCAAGATATCGAAAACGTGTGCTCTTATGTAGATCCTCATTATTCTCTCTATACTTCTCCATCAAACCTCTCAATAAATGGATAGCTTCCATAGTAGACTTATCCGGCATGAATCCAAATTGATTTTGAGAAACAATAATATCACGACACAACCTATGCTCCATAACTCTCTCCTATAGTTTTAAAGTATGACACATTAACTTAATTATTCTATAATCACACAATCTAGTGCATCGCCTTTATTTTTAAAAATAGAAATCAACACACTCATTCTCCACTCATCTCACATCTTTTTCGTCTTCAAAATAATATTAAAAATTTATTAAGCCAAGAAATTCTTTCATCTCCTAACCATTTCCACACCTCTATTGGAATATCATCAGGTCTAACAGCTTTTCCAAACTTCATTTTCTTTGAAGCCTCTCTAACTTTAGTTTATGTCAATAAAAACAAAAATCTTTATTTTCATTTATGGTGTTATGATCACTAAAATCAATCACATTCTCATAATATTTATTGAAAACTTTAGAAAAATATCTCATCCACCTTTTTTGAATATCCTCTTTTAATAAAACACTTTTTGATTTTCATCCTTAATATTCTTCACTTGAACTAAATCCTTACTACTTTTATCTCTTTATTTGACTAACTCTTAGTATCTAATATATTATATAAATTATTAAAAACTAAAATCTTTATATCGCATATTGCATTCTTAGTAAATCCTTACATTTTTCAGTGTAATAATTAGAATTTCAATTAAAATTTCAAAGTTAATTGTGCTTTTATAAAAACAATAGTAGGATAGGTGACCTCTTGGAAACTTACATTTTTTTTTTTTTTAATTTTGAATTCGTCAATTTGCTTTGTATGAAATATGAATTTCGAATTATATGAATCGGAAGTTCTAAATCCATCAACAAAGTATTAGTTTCATTCTAATTTTCTTTCAATCAAATACTTAGAAATTTTGAAAAATATATATAGAAAAATTTTATTTGGTTTGCTCTAAACTTTTAATACATAAAGGTAAACATTTCCTAAAGAAATAGAAAAAAAAAATGATTGCTATGAAAAATATATTCTGTATGACGAAAGAAAAAAAAAATGAAAAATTAACCATCAGCAGAAAATTCATTTGATAAATTGTTAAATTAAAAAGTTTTAAAATTAAGTTCAGGATAATCCAAATTTCAATTTTAGCAAATTTATAAAAATATATTTTTTGCCTTTTTTTTTTACTTTTTTTTTTTAAATTTTAGCAAATTTATAGTTTTTACTTTTTTTTTTTTAATTTTAGCAAATTTATAGTCAAATTAGATGCCTTGATGTAGGGCTGTCAAAATCAGGTCACGGGTCTGGTTCGGGCACAATCCAGAATTGACATGTCACTGTTCGACCTGACCCGTTTTTACAAACGGGTCAGTTTTTCAGACCCGAACCCAACCCGCTTTGGGTCTAGATCAACCCAAACTCCAAAAACCGAATCCGACCTGCTTCGGATATATTTTACTAATTTATTTAATTTAATTTATTTAAACATAAATCGAATTAATGTAAGATTTATTTCAATCAATTTAAAATAAATTAAGCTAAATTCAGTTTGGGCAACATGGTTTGTTATTTTTTGGAAATAACATTTACTTATTTCATAACAATCTTTTAAAACCCTCCTAAATCAATTAAAAATGAGTCAAACCGGGTTGATTTCGAGTTTTCTGGTCAACTCGAACCCGACCCAATTTTGCAAATGGGCCAAGATCCTTAACACGAACCCCAACCCGGTTCAGGTTGACCCGAACCCAAAATTTTCGTGTCAAATTTTCGAGTCGTTTCAAATATTGGCGCCCCTATATGGATGATAAGAACTTAATGACTCTCAATAAGCCCAATCAAGCACTTAAAGCATAGTTGAAAAAGTTTGTGATATTAATTAGACGACCAAAATACGCCTACTTATATAGTTGAGATTATTATTAAGATTGCAAAACCATGCACTCATTTGTTTACTTAAAAAATAAATAAATGAACGATCTAATGGAATTGTCCAATATAGTGTTTTGAGATACCAAATCCTAAATTTATGAAATTTCAGTCTAAAAAATTATAAATAGACTCATAGAACCCCATTCTCTTTATGAAGAGGAGCTAGTACCTAGACGTAAAATTGGGGATAATTTGAAGATCTGAATAGCCCAAAGCTCTACATAATGTTCGACTCTAATTTTTTTACAACCAATAATTGTCGTCACCTAGTCAATGTCATCTGACTTTCATTAACTAGAAGTAGGGGTGCAACCGAGTCAAGCCGGCTCGTGAGCCGGCTTGAGCTCGACTCGACAACAGGCTCGACGAGTCGATCTTATCGAGCTCGCGAGTCGAGCTCGAACACAATTTCGAGCTCGGAAGCTTATCGAGCTCGAGCTCGAACAGACAGTTGATCGGCTCGAGAGCTCGTCGAGCAGCTCGTTTCGCTGGAAAAATGAAACTGCGGCGGGCATATGAAATCAGGGAAGCGACCACCGACGCGGGAAAAAGGAAATTACAGCGGGAAAAATGTTGGCGAAGCCGGATAACATGAAAGTTGAAGCTTATCGTTTATTCCATGAAATCAGGGAATCTCCTTCTTCAAGCTTATGTTTATTCAGAATGCATGTGTTTCCTGGAGTTTTGTATCCTTCAAAGAGAGCAGTTTATCTTCGATTGTTCAGCGTCTTTTTTTTTTTTTTTTTTTTTGTATTATTCATTGCTCAGACGGACGGTTCTCCGTCCAATTTTTCTCTGTCGTGACGGACTCGATCGCGAGCATCGACGGACGCGACATTGGCGACAGAAGCGGACGCGAGCGGCGATGTCGTGGATGCGACATTGGAGACGATGGGGATGCAAGCGGCGACGAGGGAAGAGACGACGGATGCAGACGTGAGCAGTGACGAGGGAATTTTTTTTTTCTTTGTCGAGTCGAGCTCGAGAGCTCGACGAGCTTTTCTTTTCTCGGTCGAGTCGAGCTCGAGCTCGACTTTTGACAGATGAGCTCGGCTCGAACAACTCCTGACTCGAGCTCGACTCGACTCGTTTACACCCCTAACTAGAAGCCATCTCTAGATTGTCATCATCTGACCTACTTCATCCAACCATCGTTTCCTGACTATCGTCATCACCCTAAACTACTTCTCTAACAATTTCTACTACGTACACAAAAATCAAGCTACTTCTTGTTAACTTTGTAATCTCATATTCTCCAATTGAGCGGAAGAGTGGACCCTATTTATACTAATATTTGACATATGTATATAGTTAAAAAGATTTATAAAAATAATTTAAATACAATCAAAATTAAACCAATAATCTTTAATAATTGAATTATCTTTATCTAAATAAATCAACACTCTATTTCACTTTTACTAAATAAATAATCTCAAATTTATGAATTTTAATTTTTTTTTTATTAAAATATATAAAGAAAGCTAAACAAATCTCCTAAGAGGGTAGAAGGCTGAAATTCAGATTAACAGGCCCAAAAGCCTACAGGTTGTCTCAAAACCCCACTATTGCTAGAAGACTCAGTTAGACTCAATAATTGTCTCGTGATCCGAGCTCGATGAACTAACGAGCTCCTTCTTGTGTAAGTGAGTCAAGCGGATTTGTGAGTCGGCTTAAGCGGAATCAATAAGTGGCTCATGATCCGAACTCGATGAGCTAACGAGCTAAGCTTGAGTCAGCCATGACTCGACTCATTAGCTCGTGAGCCGGCTCACTTAAAAAATAATTAGTATAAGATGAACCTAAAATATATCAACATTCGGGATTTAAAATACAAAGTAGCTAAAATGTGTGAAACTGTTACATCACTTTTTTATATTAAGCAATTCTTGATTATTTTTATTTTAATTTATCATTATTTCATCATTTTATTATAAGAACTATTTAAATCACAATCATTTTCTATTTTTAATAATAAATGAGCCATCTTAAACCGTGAAATAAAGCTTGAGCTTAAATTCGAACCCGAATAATTAATCGAGCTCAAGTTAGGGGCCTATCTTACTATAATATTTGGTTTGATTCATTAAATTAGATAGAGCATTTGTAAATGCTAAATGGTTGGACCACTTTCCTATAGCTCAGGTTCACGTACCTACCTGTGCAACAAACATCTCCTTGGCCCCCAAAGATTGGTCCAACTTGCCTGACTTGAAGGATTTGGTTAGCACTATTTCATGGTGGGTTCGGACCATGATTTCTCTAAGGTTTTTTTTTTTTTTTGGTAGTTACCTCTGCTTTGATTGGGACTTTTTCTTCTCCTCCTGTGGCTTCACCCAAGCTTGATTTTGGCTGTTAGGATTCTAGTTTGCTGAAATCAATCTCTCTCCTTGTTGTGTCTTGGATTCAAAATTTGGAAGTTCGACGTCAGTCGGCGGCCGAGTGGAAGTCCAGTGCGAGTTGGTGGTCGGGCAGAAAATACACGTTAGTTGATGGCCGGGCATAAATCTATCATCAGTTGTTGGTGGCCGGGCTGCAATCTGGCATCAGACGGTGGCCGGGTTGAAGTCTAGCGGTGATCGAGGAGGAGTTTGGTGGCAAGAGAGCTCTTCCTTTTCTTTCTGCTCGGGACCCCCAAATGAGAAATGAGGGGTCTATTTATAATTTTCTTAGAGTGATATGACCAAAAAATAGAAGAAAAATCAAGGATAAATTGAGAGTGGTTTGAATGGATCACCAATGTTAATTCTATTGATTATGGACAATTTATCAGACATTTGAATGTCTTACTGATATCAGAATTTGGCGTTCTTGCTCTCATTGTATTCGTCTCGTCGAGCCGCTCGATTCGACTATAAGCATGTTATGTTTGAAAACTATTTGGTATTCCAAATTATGATTTGAACCTTCGAAACGTTCTTCGGGTCTTTGATTTGGACTCATTTTGGCTAGGATTGAGTCGAATTTGGTGTCGTTGAATTCATATTTTCGAGACGTTCAGTTCAACTATAATTTAACTAAAATCAGAGTTCAAATGATCCCCGATATAATTCTCAAAGTTTCCAACTTGATTTTGCCTCGAGATTCGTCCCCGATCAACTTTTTTTTTTTTGCCGATATACCACCCCTGATTTGATCTTTCTTTTACGGGCTCCGGGCAATGTTGCTTCAGCCCAAACAGCATCATAGCCACCACTGGCTTTCTGCCTTTCTTCCCTTTTTTTGCATGTCCAAATTCACTCGATTCTGCACCCATCCCGCCCTGCTCTGTAGCTTCAGCTACTCTGAAAACACATTGCATCTTTAAATAGCTCTATTGCCTCTTATTTCCATATGAGAAACTCGGAAAGGTAGAAACAAAAAATGAATGTGTAGAGCCCATTTCCTGTTTCTGAACTATTCAGAAACAGGAAGAAACAGTGGCAGCACAGAGAAACCATCAGAGCACATGCCGTCGCCCACAGCGCAAACAGTGCTCGGCTTCCCAATTCCACAATTAAATGGATTCAGAAATGGCGAGCACTCTCTATGATGCAACAGTATAATCGTACGAGACTAATGTAGATGGCCAGCAAAAATGACGAGCCATTATTCTTATGCCTGTACACGTTTAACATTATCTGAAGGCTGAGCAATTTTGTTTTGGAGTTGGACGATAGGAAGAAGATATACGCATCCTTTTTATAACATTTTTCAGATTTGTGAATATTGCCATAGATATATCATCAAAGAATTTTTTTGATGGGGGACGAATCTCGAAGCAAAATTAAGTTGGAAATTTCTAAAATTAAATTGCAAATTATATGAACTCAGATTTCAGTAAACTTAAAGTAGAATTGAACGTCGACACCAAATTCAACTCAATATTAGCCCAAATGAATCTAAATCAAAGACCCAAAGCACATTTGGAGTGTTCAAACTACAATTTGGATTACCAAATGGTTTCTAAATGTGACATGCTTATATTCGAATCGAGCGGCTCAACGAGACGAATCCAATGAGCCCAACGAGTCGAATTGTGAAATCATTAGGACCTTCAAATGCCCAATAAACTGTCTATCAATGGATTCAACGACCGTTTATTTAAACCATTTCCAATTTACTCTTGATCTTCTGCCTATTTATTGGTCATGTCACTCTTAGAAAACTATAAATAGACCCATCATTTATCATGAGAGGGGACCCAAGCAAGAAGAGAATAAAAAGAAGATAAAAGAAGGAAGAGAGCTTTCTTGCCACTGGACTCCTCCTCGACCACCACTGGACTTCTACCCAGTAGCTGACCAATGTCGGAGTTCTGCCTGGTCGCCAACTGAAGCCGAAATTCTGCCCAGCTGCCGACTAACGCCAGAGTTCTGCACGACAGTACTCGACTAACGTCGTATTTCTGTCTGACTGTCAATTGAAGATGGATTTTAGCCCGACCACCAAATGTCGCCGAATTTCCGATCTCCGTTTATAATTGAATTTCTACCCGAGAGTTTATTATTATAATCTGATCATCCTCAATTTCAGGAACGAGTCAGTCACTTGTAATCTAAGTAAACACTATTGAAATCCTTTCAAATGGACGTGACTCCATGATTTTTCCCTTTTCAGGGTTTCCACGTAAAAATTATATTGTTATATTTTTCTTCTATTTGTGTGCCGGATATCCGTACAATGCTGAGACGAAAATTTTCTAACTATATCGCCTCATATATTCTAGCATGCAACAACCGCTAAGGCATTAACCTTATGGTTCATGACTGTTTGGTTTAATATTACATGAATAAGAACTTTAATGGAGAGAGCCTCAGCTCCAAAAAGATGTATTTCACATTTCTTCACGTTGCCCTAACTACAAGAAATATTCAGACAGCCTAATAATCCAAACTAACAACCTAATGCCAACAAAAAAGGCTCATTACAATCTTTACTTCCTAATATCATGTCTCTTAGCAAAGGTAAAATGAGACTTCAACACAAATGAACCCAAATTGTAACATAAAAAAGAAAGAAGGGTTTTCAAAAGATTTCTAAGTTTCATATCATAATGAATTTTAGATTTCCTTAAATTTTTTATGTAATATATGTTTTGTATAATCATTAAAAATAAATTTCATGAATATAAAATCAATGCTAATGAATTTTTTATCTGAAAATTTAACTCGAATTTGTGAACACTGAATATCAAGTGTGGCAGTGTCAAGTTTAGGCAATGTACCTGAGTTGTTACATGGAAGTAAATTTTTAACAATTTTTTGTGAATATTATTTTTTGGTTTTTATAATTATTATTCTAAAGATCTGATTGTTAAAATAATTTCTGTCCACACACGACATATGTTTCTGAAACTATGAAAAAAATTAACTTTCTAAAAAGCAGAGTTAAGAAAAACTGAAAAAAAAAGTAAGCGAAGTACAAGATTATTGACAATTTTTTAATGAGCAGCTTTTTGTCTAATACTGATTTCTTTTTGTCTTCTCCTTAAACACTGGTTTGCTCAAATTTGAGAGATTTGATGTTTTAAAATAGTTATTATAATTAGTTTATAATAAATTTTTTATCGAAATTTCGTATGGAAACAGTGCTCGCAGCCTCGCATCACGGGATAATCTTCAAGTTACTTTCTGGTAAATGGAATAACGAAGTCTTCCTACCTAGCCCGAGGCACCATCTACGCATAAGCACATGGAAAACAGTGAAGGCTCAATTCGCGCACATGCAACGGTCCTCTGAGAAGGCCGGGGGCAAGGCGATAGATCAAAGAAGAAAAATGCATTTATGGAAATATTTGATAGACATGTTCAAGGGAAAAGCTAACAGTTAAATCTCAGAAAACGATGGAGCTCACAGAGCCCGGGAAGAAGAACAGGGGATCCTGCAAGAAGCGAGGAGAACAGCCAAAAAAAACCCTCCCTGAAGGACTAATATTTACAATAAAAACCAAATAGAAGAGTTGGATTTGAAAACAAATAGATGCAAACAAACAAGTCAGAGTGATTTTTGTTCCCGGGTTTCAGTGAGTTTTTTTTTTTTTTTTGTAGGGAATCACTTACCTAATCAATTCCTGGGTACTGCTTTCTCGCACTTCGTTTTGGCGAAGCCGTTCTTTGCTGCGGATGAGCCCTCTTTCTCCTTCTTCTGGGGAGCAAAGAGCTGACCGAAGTCGAACACAGAAATCGACTTGGCCGAACCGCGGAGAGTGCACACGGGAACATTGAGAACCGGCGTAACCATTACATTGGTGGAGTAGGATCGCTCCATTCCACGCGGTCGAGGTCGGAAGCCTCCATTAAAGGTACTCGGACTGCTTGAGCTTCTCTCCAGTCCCTGGAAAATAACTTTTCCTGATGCATTAAGACGCGGGCTGTCCACTGATGACCCCCGAGGTGAGGGTCGATCGCCTGGTTCTCGAGAGGGCCGTATAGTGCTCCGGCCAACTCTCACTGCCATTGGGCCATCCGTGGCTGATTCCGGAACCCGCACGGTCTTGTTGCCTTCCGCAGGCAATGCAGGAGGACGACGAATCTTCAGCGATCTAGTATTTGCGACCCTATACCGAGGCGGATTATGGCACAGCGAGATGGGTGCTGGATTAATCTTTTCAGAATCGAGGGATAAACGTGGGAGATCCTCAGGGTCAGCGCCAGAGGAGGATGAAGAGGAGAGTGAAACGCGAGCTGAAATGGATGCCGACTCCGAATCGGAGTCCCGGAGTAGTGGAAGGTTAAGTGAGGAGTCGCTCGAGGAAGACTTGGGATTTCGGTGAAGAAATAGTTTCAGTGATTTTCCGTTGGAACCCTTGGAAGTTGTGGGCGAGGCATTCTGACGCTCAGGCTTTGAGCTCTGCGCTTTCTTCAAGCCAAGCAACTCCTTCCACCGGCTCGAACACCTGGGCGCCTTGGGCGAAAAAGCATAAAGATCAGGACCATTGATCTCCACCCTGCGCCACAAACTAATCGGCACCGGTGACCTGACATCCGCAGGGCTCCTCTTCGCGGGCCTAGTCGGAGCAAGCTGGAGCGGAATCAGCTTCCCGTCGGAAAATAGCTCGTCAGCGGTAAGCATTTTTACGGTATCGTCAAGCCGGAATTCAAATTCGACAAAATCCTTCCCAGATCTTTCCAGATCCGCCTTCCCGTCGTCATTCCTACCTCGATCATCCGCCAAGTCACGGCTGAATGAGATCCTCGGGCTCAGCCAGCCCGATGAAGCGTACGGAAGCGTGCAATCGATAAAATTCTCCGGCAACACTCCCACATTGTCGATGCAGGCCGACGCACTCATTGAACATCAATCGGGAGATGAACAAACACTCCCGCCGGATCGATCTCGCGATCAAGAAGCTGAGTTGAAAGAGAACTCAGAACAGAAAACAAAAATTATGAAATGCAGTAATTCGGCGCGGCTGGGTTCGTTTATATAGAGGCGGATTGATTTGGCCATTTGGGTGCCGAACCACTTTAACAGGTTAGAGCAGGTCCAGCACGTGACAATGCATCTGGAAAATGAAATGGATACGTAATTGGGTTAAATCATTGATTTGCCATACGAATTATAAAATCAGAGAAAAAATTGAGTCACATATTATAATCAAAATAGACTTTTATTTCACATTTGACATAGAGATTTAAATTGGAGAGATTTTTTAGACTTAGAAGAATCATTAATGATTTCTAGCAAGTCTTTGTCGACAAAAGTCATTGTTAGCTTTCCCGTTGATCGAAACCGAGAGCCACCGATTCTGTCATCTCCTATTAACGAACACTATCATCTACAATGAATTGAGTATCTTCAAGTTCCATTAATCGACATTTGACTTCAGTCATTGTCCAATCACCATCAATCGCATCAAATATGAGTCACTCCATCGAGAAATTATTATTTGCAGTCATCGGACCATCTGGAGGCAAATCAGAATGAGCCATATAACTCAGTATACAGCAAAATGATGACATGACGCATTCTGATTTGCTTCCGAATGGAATCCAGTTAATGCGCGTAATAATTTCTCCGCTCTACCGTCTTCTCTTACCTTCAAAGAATATTAGAATAGCATACTCACAATTTGTTATTTTGCTCTCTCAAATTAAGGAGATATTCGAACTCTTCCAAGTTCCAACACTAAACTCTCATCATCCAAAATTGGGTTGTGTTTTCTAATTCATAATGGAACCTCAAATTAAATTATTTATTTATTTCAGTGTTAATATTATCACATAAAAATAACTAATTACTCACATTATATATATATATATATATGTGTGTGTGTGTGTGTGTTTTCTTATTGTTTTTAAGAAATTTTTATGTTAGGAAAAAAAATTATAGTAGCTTTAAAAAATTTTATTTTCATTATAACAATTTTATAACCAACTTTTCATAAATTTATGGTCTTCCCAAACAAACCCTCAATTATTTATAAATACTATTTATAAGCAAAATAGTAGAGGTATTAATTCTTGTTTCAACTTTTATCTTAATAGGCTGGTTAATTAATTAAAATAAAAGTTCATATGTTTCTAATTTTTTTTTTTTATCTTATAAAAATTATGATATGCTCTTAATATTTTTTATATTTTTATTTTTCTAAAATATTAATTTTATAAGTTTTTAATAATTTGAAATTTAACTTTAAATTATCTTATCGGATCAAATTTTTAATGCCTGGCTAGTAACTAGATAACGTGCATTGTTTGGCTAGGCTAGTGTAGTAATGGGGATGTGAGAAATTATTTTTATTATATTTTTCCCCAAAAAAAAAATAGGGAAATTAATAATTACAATGAAGTCAATGGTTCCATTCTTTTGAGGTTGGTAGGCATTGGTTATCTATGGCTGTTCTAAAAGAAATAAATGCTGCATCAAGTAGGAATTAAAAATAATAATAATAATAAAATCATAAAAGCCATAGATAATTTGTGATATCTTTCTCATTTTCTTATTTTTTAGAACGAAATGATAATTTTTATTTGGCTATTTAGTATAATAAAAATTTATACCAAATAAAATATTAGACTTCATTTTGAACAACTTTTTTATTGCTTTTTGGACAGCTTGCTAAAATAAAAAAAAAAATTAGTTTTAAAATTTTTTTTTACTAAAAAAAGCTTTAAAAAGCAATAAAAAAACTGTCCAAAACGAAGTCTAATGTTTTATTTGGTATGACTTTCTTATTGTTTGTTACTATTTTTTAAAGCAATTTTTTAATATAATTTTTTTTAACTATAAATTTTGGAGCTAAAAAGCTATGGTTTAACGTCTTGGAATATATGGTTTAACGTCTTATCATTGTACGAATATTCAGCACACAAGCAGATAAGAGAGGGGGTGAAACATTCATAAGAGACACCATAGTTTTTACGTGGAAAACCCCTGAAAAGTGGAAAAAATCAAGGGGCCTGCCCCAGTTTGAATGAATCCACTAATATTTGCAGTCGATTACAAATGAGGCACTTCCTTTGGAGAAGGCCTAGTATTGATGTAGCAAATATACATCATATATATTGCATTATATGGTAGGAGTTACATATACATGTTTGTTTAGTCGGAAGGACCGTAGTCGGCAGGAGACCGAGGTTAGAAAGACCATTGTTTGTTAATGGAGGTCGGAAGGGCCATAGTAGACGACGGAGGTCGGAAGGACCGTAGTCGGCAGGAGACCGGGGTCAGAAAGACGTTGTCTGTTGATGGAGGTCGGACGGACCATAGTAGGCGACGGAGGTCGGAAGGACCGTAGTCGGCAGAAGACCGGGGTCAGAAAGACCGTTGTCTGTTAATGGAGGTCAGACGGACCGCAGTAGGCGACGGAGGTCGGAGGGACCGTAGTCGGTAGGATACTGGAGTCATAAAGAATGTTGTCATGTAATGGAGGTCGGAGTGACCGTAGTAGTTGACGGAGGTCGGGAGGACCGTAATCAACAGGAGATTGGGGTCAGAAAGGCCGTTGTTTTGTGATGGAGGTCGGGCGGAGTCCGGGCCTTAAGTCGTGGTCCGGCAGAAGTCCAAACCTCAGGTGGTGGTCTGGCGGAGCAACAGCGTCAGGTGGTGGTC